AACTCCTTGTCCTGCCGAACAGCCACTCTCCTGAATTTTGTATTTATCATTCCCTTTCTTTTCTCCAGTATTAACTTTTCATTTAATTAATATTACCTAATTACTCACTACAGAGTAAGTATATATATGATTTATGCCTTAAGGAATTCAGAGTCTGGGTAGGAACACAGGAACGCAAATAATCATTACAATAACCCATTCAAAGAATATAAGGCATTAAGTGAGCACATAAAGAAGAAAAAAAAAAGCTGTTAATAGAGCGTGAAGAAGACACAAACACTACACTATAAGTAGGGTGCATGGGAGGACAACCCTCTGTTAATTCCAAATAGGGAAAAAAACTATTGCCAAAGGACACAGATGAGAAAGTCGAATAATTTCAGAAACTATAGGTATGGCTAGCACACTAAGTCAGGAGATGAGACTAGAAATGGTGACCAAATCCTGATGAGAAATTTGAAGTTTTTACTCTAAGCAAAAAATACAAACAAAAGCTAGGTAGATAAATTGCCTTATACTTCTGATTACTGTTGATGTTATTCCAACTTCCCTGTATCTATACCTTTTGATAGTACCCCTCACCTCACAGTGACTCTGGACTTGGTCACATGACTTTCTTTGGCCAATGGGACAATAGTAAATTTGGTGGCATATTCATGTCCACCTCATTCCTCTTGCAGCCCTACCCCAGACATGAGAACAAGTCCCCAGCTAGCCAACAGGAAGGTAAGCAATTACTTAGAACAGAGCCAAATAGTCCCAGCTGAAGCTATCCCGCACTAGCTGATAGCCAGCTGAGTCCCGACACATTAGTGAGCCCAGCCAAAACCAAAAGAATGACCCAGCCAATCTGTAAACTTTTGCGTAAAATAATGCTTATTATTATTTGCCACTGAAGTTTTGTAAAGTTCAAAATGAAATAGAATGTAATAGGTAACTGAAATGGATTGAAGCTAACCATGGGGTTTGAGCAGTGTCACATGGCCCAATATGTTTTCTAAAGACTGTGCTAATAGCCGAAACCGGTTTGGCTCGGTGGATAGAGCGTCGGCCTGCGGACTGAAGGGTCCCAGGTTCGATTCCGGGCAAGGGCATGTACCAGGGTTGCGGGCACATCCCCAGTAGGAGATGTGCAGGAGGCAGCTGGTCGATGTTTCTCTCTCATCGATGTTTCTGACTCTCTATCTCTCTCCTTTCCTCTCTGTAAAAAATCAATAAAATGTATATTTAAAAAAAAAAAAGACTGTGCTAATAAATGGAAAATAGATCTGGAGTCAACAATAGAGGTAAAAATTTTAAGAAAGAAAGTATAAAGTTGGAATTAATGCCAAGAAGACAGAGAGGAAAAGACATGTGAAATGTAATACTGAGTGTTAGAACTATTGGAATTTAGGCATTAATTAGATGCACTCTATGAAAAAGAAGGAGATTTTCTGGATAAATTCCAGATTTATTGCAAGAGTAATTACAAATGCAATCAACCTGCATTTAAAATACTTGAAGATAAAAATCTTAGAAGAAACCATAGGCAGCAAAATCTTAGACATCTCTCGTAGCAATATGTTTACCGATACATCTCCTACGGCAAGGGAAACTAAGGAGAAAATAAACAACTGGGATTCCACCAAAATAAAAAGCTTCTGCAAAGCAAAAGAAGCCATCAACAAAATGAAAAGGGAGTCCACTGCATGGGAGAACATATTTGCCAATGATATATCTGATATAAGGTTAATTTCCAAAATATATGAGGAACTCATACAACTTAAGGAAGACAAACAACCCAATTGAAAAATGGGCAAAGGACCTAACTAGACACTTCTTTAAAGTAGACATACAGAAGGCCAAGAGACATGGAAAAATGCTCAAAGTCACTAATAATCTGAGAGATATATATTAAAACAGCAATGAGGTATCTACCTAACACTTGTCAGAATGGCTATCATCAACAAATCAACAAATGACAAGTGCTGGTGAGGATGTGGAGAGAAGGGAACCCTAATATTCTGTTTGTGGGAATGCAGACTGGTGCAGCCACTGTGGAAAAGAGTATGGAGTTTCCTCAAAAAATTAAAAATGGAACTCCCATTTGATCCAGTGATCTCATTTCTGGGAATATATCCCAAGAAACACAAAACACCAATCAGAAAGAATATATGCATCCCTATGTTCATAGCAGCACAATTTATAATACCTAAGCCAAAGTGCCCATCAGTAGATGAGTGGATAATAAAGCTGTGGTACATTTCACCATGGAATACTGTGCAGCTGTAAAAAAAAAAAAAAAGGCTCTCTTACCCTTTAAGGCAGCATGGAGTAACCTGGAGAATATTACACTAAGTGAAATAAGCCAGTCAGAGAAAGATAAGTATCACATGATCTCACTCATATGTGGAATCTAATGAACAAAATAAAATGATGAACAAAATAGATTTAGAGACATAGAAGCATAGAACAGACTGATGAATCTCAGAAGGAAGTGGGGGCGGGGAGGGGGAAGAGATTAACCAGAGAACTTATATGCATATACTAGAGGCTCGGTGCATGAACTCCGTGCACGGGTAGGATCCCTAGGCCTAGCTGGCGATCAAGGCTGATCTGTGGGATGACTGGTGGGGCCATTGCAGGGGGAGGGGGGGCGCGCTGGCACCCGCCATGGGGCCTGCGGGCAGCTCCTGGGTTGAGCGTCTGCCCCCTGGTGGTCAGTGCGCAGCATATCGACCAGTCATTCTGCTATTCAGTCGATCTGCATATTAGGTTTTATTATATACGATATTCATAGCCCATGGTCACAGACAATAGTGTGGTAAAGGCCTGGGAGGGGCAGTTGTGGAATGGAGGGGATTTTGGGGTGGGGGGAGAAGAGGGACATCTGTAATACTTTCAACAATAAAGATAAATTTAAAATAATAAAAGAGGGGCCTCTTTCCCCCACCCCACTTGGGAGTCTGTGCTGTGAGATTCTTTCCCTTTCTCCACATGGGAATCTGTACTTGTTCTTCAATAAATTTCCACCTTTGCTATACCAAAAAAATAAAAATAAAAATAAAATAGTTGAGAAGAAAGGTATTTTTTTTGGTGTCTATTTTTGTTGAGGATAGAAATATCACTTCAGAAAATGGTACTTTAATATTGAAAACAAAGGCCATTTTTATATACTTTTACAGAGATAATAAATACAAATCGGAATTTTAAAATACCTTTGGAAAGAATGATTAATTAAGTTATTAACCCAGGGAACACATGAGTACACAAGAATCCAGTGTCCTGGGATTAAAGACACAGTATTAGATCTTTTTGAAATAGCCTTCTTACATGAAAATCAGTGGGTTTTAAATTAGGTCTTTTTCTCCCACTTTTCACTTGTAGCTTCTACTGTTTTGTTACAGTTTATTTTTAACCTCATAATCTGAAACATCTTAGACATAGGGTACAATAAAAAGTTCTATAAAGATTTGAGCCCAGCAAGGCTGGCTCAGTGGTTGAGCATTGATCCCTGATCCAAAAGATCACCAGGTAGATTCCTGATTAGGGCACATGCCAGGGTTGTGGGCTCTATCCCCAGTAGGGGGCATGCAGAAGGCAGCAGATGGATGTTTCTCTCTCATCGATGCTCCTATTTCTCTATCCCTCTCTTTTTCCCTCTTTCTAAAATAAATAAAAACATTAAAAATAAAGATTTGGGGAAAAATGAATTAACTTTTGCTTTATACCAGTGTATAATTATGTACTTATTTAATTCGAAGCCATAAATCAAGCCATCTTATTCACTACTGAAATGCTTGGTGGATACATATATCAGCAGGCACAAATACATAAATACAATTTTAGGTAAAAATATCATGTTTCATTTGTAAAACTGATATGTTGTTAAATAGTAAGGGGCCAAAACAGTGAGATAGTGAAGCCATCCAAAGCACAATTTTCCAGAACTCAAAATAAGATGAATGCGTGAAATGAGAGTAGAAGTGACAGGAACATGAAAAATCAAGATAGTTACATAGTTACATTCCCAGGAAAGTAGTAAAAACTAAATGATCTATCACATATAATAATCCTATATAATAAAAGCCTTGGTGGCGTCACACCTTTGCACGACACCCTTGCACAATGTTGTCACAAGATGGCTACCACAAGATGGCCCCGCACACAGCGGAGGGGGGCACGGTGGCCGCTCCGAGCCATGAGGCCTGGGAGTCCTGCAGCTCCGCGCGGCGCAGAGGAGGCCAGTCCTGGCGGAAGAGGCAGGTTGCGGCAGAGGAGGGCAGTTGTGGGTGAGCGGGCCAGCAGGGGAGGGCAGTTGGGGGGATCAGGCTGACAGACAGAAGCGGTTAGGGTAATCAGGCAGGCAGGTAGGCGAGCAGTTAGGAGCCAGCAGTCCTGGATTGTGAGAGGGATGTCCCAGATTGGAGAGAGTGCAGGCCGGGTTCAGGGACAACCCTGCCACCCCCCTACCCCCGTGCACAAATTTTGTGCACCAGACCTCTAGTATATATACACAAAAGCCTAAGCGACCAAACGACCAAATGACTGGTAGCTATGACACACAATGACCACTAGGGGACATACGTTCAACACAGGAGCTGCCCACTGGTGGTCAGTGTGCTCCCACAGCCAACCTGCCATGGATGGCCAACCTCCCACGGTCCCTCCCCACAGCTGGCCAATGTCCTGCAGTCCCTCCTCCCAGACTGGGCAAGACGACCTCGATTGCCAGCCAGGCCAAGGGACCCCATCCATGCACGAATTCGTGCACCATACCTCTAGTATCAGATAACCACTACTTTTTAATTCTGTAAGATAGATTTGTTCATGTACAAGTAGTTGAAGAACCATGTATAGAAGCTGGAATGTAAAAGTACTTAAGCCAAACTTGTTCACCACAAATTCTTCTGCTGTCACTGCTGATAGATATTAGAAAAGAATACAAATTATCCAGAAAAAAGAAGTGTATACCCGCACCCCTACTGCAATACTGATGGATGAAAAGTGTGAGAACTTGCCTCTTTCTCAGTGTCTCTAGAGATACATGTCCACTGGTTCTCCTTCACACTGTACGCCCAGAAGTCAGCAAGATCTTGTGTTCCATCCCAGCCACCAAACAAATAAACGGTCTCTATGAAAATTAGAAAAATATGTGTAAAATGATAAATTTAAGGACAAAATATAAGTCTAGGCATCCAGACTTACCCAGTTGTCTCTAAAACCATTTAAAAAGGTACATCTAAATAAACTTAAAATTTTTAAACTGGTAGCATTCCAAAATATTTCTAGACTAGCGTTTCCTAAACATGAGTATGTGGAAAAGCTGCTGTGGAACCACTATTTTGAGAGATTTATAAAAATACAGACAATGAGGAGGAATTCCCTAAGATTCTGCTTCCATAGGTATTTAGTAGGTAAAAAAGAGTCTGTACTTTTAAAGTATCCATGGTGAATCTGATATTCAGCCAGTATAGGAGTTTCTGAGTTAGCCCACAAAAAATTTACATTTACCACCTTCTTAATAATGCAGCTTCAGACTGCAAAGAGAAAAAAGAGAAAGAAAAAAAAAATACCAAAGAAATATATAATGTAAAATATAAAGACATCTAGCTATTTCTGGAAAAAAATCACATTATAACTGTTTTCTCTCTAATGTTAACACCAAAAACAATAATTAGCCGGAAGTTAAAGTTAGATATCTTAACAATAAAGTGATGCATACATATGGCCTTGGTATTCCCATGGAAAATTGGGGAAATTTTTCCATATATACTGTGGTAGCTTTTAACTCCTCGTAAGTCCACCTTTCAGTCATTTGTAGGTATCTTGAGAATTTGGTATCTTCTAACTCTGAAATATCTATTATATCCATAGACTTTATCCCCTGTGACAAAACTGATTTCTTGCTCAGTGAAAAATGAAAATCTTTATACATAACAATGTGTATTATCCCATTCTTTTTATATAATAAGAGTGCCTTTCCTTTCTTCAAATACTTCCCCCTTTGTAAATAAATGTCTTATGTCTAATGGTTATACAAGCCCAGCAATTATTTTTTATAAAGTTAATTAGACATCACAGGAAAACTGTAAAGCCATCTACTCTCTTAACTGACATGTCCTAGTCATATATATGAAGAGACTGCCATCTAAGTTATGCCCCACCATAAAGGGTTATAATTCAAAGTGCACTTGGAAATATTGTAATACCGTTTAAGAAGTGTCTTGCCATTCATAGAGTTGGGCTCTCTTCTAAGAGGTTTTTGCCATATTGTCATATAATTTCAAACTCTAAGTGAATTTTCTAAGTGAAACATCCCACTCTATGCCCCAAGAATCTTGGGAAATCAAAACAATACTTCTGGATAAGAATAGACCACTGGAACAGGACTGAGTTCTAGTGCTAACTCAGTGAAAGGTCACATAACCTCACTGGTTATTAGTATTTTTATTTACAAAACTCTCAGTGTTGTGAAGTTCTTCAGATACAAGTTCATGAAAACATTCTGAAGGCTGGCAAGTATGAACCGCATTTCTACCTTTAAAACGCACAGAAATAAAAAATACTTGTGCCTGATTCCATGTCTAACTCGGTACCTGGAACACTTTGGCTCTGTACAAATGTGAACTACTATATCAGAACTACAACAATCCATTCCCATTAGTTAAGTAACATTCTGTTTCCGAAATGGCACACAATAATGCCCAGATACATAGAATTTTACAGGAAAAAAATTTAAGAATTTTGATCTGGCTTAAAAATTATTTGCAAGGCCTCACTGTAAAGGCAGTTAAAAGCCTAGAGAGGGCGGGGATATATAACTAAAATAGCAATAGCAATTGACCTTTTGTTTTATAGTGTTTCTGGCACCCTCTGGATAAGGTTATCCTGGTTCATTAACTTTAATAACCCTCCCTCTTGGACTCTGGGTTCTCAATGTTCTTTCTGAAAGCAGGTCTCTTTGTACGCATAAATTCTCACAGCAAAGAAAACCCACATTTCCACAACAGCCTCATTGATAGCTGAGCAAAATAAAATCTGGCACAGAGCAAGCATCCCAATGGAATTAATCCAAGATGTCATTCTTGTCCATGAATACTTTGTGGTCCCAGTTGAAGTTTAATAGTAAAATTGAATAAATCAGAGAGAAACAAGACCTTTTGACATACCTGAATGACGCATAACAAAAATTTAATTAAATCATCTAATTATTTAATTCAAACCATTCAAAGATAAGATATTATCTAGAAACAAATGGCAGCAAAAGTATTATTTAATGGATAAATAATATAAGAAACTTTTAAAAAGCATAGAAATAATTGGAGAACTGTAGTGAGAAGATAAGAAAGTAGAAAAAAACATTATTTGCAGCAGGATAGTTTGGTTTACTGAATGTCCATTCTCAAGCTTAAAAATTATACAACAATTTATGTACATCCCTGGGACAGTACGATCGTCCTTAAGCAGCACCCCTCTCTTTTTATTTTTTCTTAAAGGAGAACAGGCTATAGAAGTTATCCATTTCTCCCAGCACTCAGAGGCATGTCTGGTCAATATTTTTTTAATACTAATCTGAATTGGTAAGGTACATTAGAGAATAATTTTTTTAAAAAAGACAAGGGAAGGAACTGTGATGGCGGTTTAGGCAAACACCTGTACTCACCGCCTCCCAGAACCACATCAAAATTATAACTAAAATACAGAACCATCATTCAGAACCACCTGAAATCTAGCTGAATGGAAGTCCTACAACTAGAGAAGCAAAGAAGAAAGCACACTGAGACTGGTAGGAGGAGCAGAGGCATAGACTGAGCTAATCCAACACCCACATGCTGCGTTTTTTTAATCGGGAGGGATATTTTCAAGGAAGTGAGGGTCCCAGCTGCTCACCAGACCCCCAGCCTAGGGTTCCAGAGTCCCTATAACTTCAGGCTTTAAAAACCAGCAGGGACTGCAGCTGAGTGTCATAAAGGCTGCTGGAGACCCAGGTGTTCCTCTTAAAGGGCCCATGCAAGAATTTACATGATCTTGCTTCCTCTGAGCTCCAGTACAGACAGCAGCTTTAGGGGAATCCAGGTACATATGGGGAAGAATTGGACTGTATGGCATAGGAGCAGGAACTGGGTGCAGCTTTCTCCCAGAGGGGTGCTCCCAGGAGTCACTGTTCCTATGGGACCACCCCCATCGCAGAGCTGACTAGCAGTCATATCTGAGTTTCCATCAGCTTGGCCCACTGTTCTCTCCACCCTGGTGATTCCCTGAGACCCCACCCAATCCAATTTGCAGCCCCAACCAAGTTGTTTACAACTGCTTTTCCATATATGGTCTGTCCTGGCTCAGGCTTCAGACATTGCTAAAAACTCAAACAAGCAGCAGCTGGTATCACCATGCCCCAAACCAATTAATAAAAAGTCCAAGACCCGGCACGAACACCAGGATGCCTTGCTTCATAGCTGGGCCTCACCCAGGCACTTCTAAGCCCAATATAAGTAGTAGCCATCTGCAGATGTCACTGTAGCTCCTGCTAGTGGCCTTAGGCAGTGCCTGACTTTGCACCTCCTGGGAGGCCTGAGTCAGTGTGCCCGATGGACAGCTTCAGACCATACCATATTACAACTCTATGTATCCACAAGCAACACGCTCCAGGGGCAGACTCAGTGAGCACCAAAGCCCCAATGAAGCAGTTCTGTTCCAAGGCATGTCTCCTGCATGGTAGCTCTTTTATTGTAGACACAGCTAGTCCTCACAGTCAATTCCTCCTAGTGACGCCAATGGCAATCAAGGCTCAACTATAAGAAGACTGTACACACAGCCCACACAGGGGCACACCTAGAGTGCCCAGCTCAGGTGACTGGGGAGACTGAGCCACTGGGCCCTATAGGACCCTTAATACAAAGGGCACTCTACCAATTCCAGGAGACATAATAGCTCTACCTAATACACAGAAATAAACAGAGGGAAGCAGCCAAAATGCAGAGATAAAGAAACATGTTAAAAATGAAAGAAATGAAAGCAAGCAAAATACTGGATATAGAGTTCAAAACAATGGTTATAAGGTTAGTCAAGAATCTTTT